ATGTACTCTCCGGGCATTCCCAGTGGATTTTTGGGTGTTCTCGGTGGATTTTGGGGTGTTCCCAGTGGATTTTGGGGCGTTCCCAGCGGATTTTGGGGCGTTCCCAGTGGATTTTGGGGCATTCCTGGTGGATTTTTGGGCATTCCTGGTGGATTTTGGGGCATTCCCGGTGGATTTTGGGGCATTCCCAGTGGATTTGGGGCATTCCCGGTGGATTTTGGGGCATTCCTGGTGGATTTTGGGGAATTCCCAGCGGATTTTGGGGCGTTCCCAGTGGATTTTGGGGCATTCCCAGCAGATTTTGGGGCATTCCCACTGGATTTTGGGGCATTCCCAGTGGATTTGGGGCGTTCCCAGTGGATTTTGGGGCGTTCCCGGTGGATTTGGGGTGTTCCCAGTGGATTTTGGGGCATTCCCAGCGGATTTTGGGGCATTCCTGGCGGATTTTTGGGCATTCCCAGTGGATTTTTGGGCATTCCTGGTGGATTTGGGGCATTCCTGGTGGATTTGGGGCATTCCTGGTGGATTTTGAGGCATTCCCAGTGGATTTTTGGGCATTCCTGGTGGATTTTGGGGTGTCCCCAGGGGTTTGGTGCTCACGTCGTTCTCGGAGGTGCCGCAGATGTTGCAGCACTTGCACTCGATGCACTGCCAGCGGTACGTCTTCACCGCCGCCATCATCACCGGCGTGAACTGCAGGCACGACGGGTGTCCTGGGAAAACATGGAATTAGCATGGAATTAGCAGGGAATTATCACGGAATTGTCATGGAATTGTCACGGAATTGTCACAGGAACCCCCTGCCCTGCCAGCGGTACGTCTTCACCGCAGCCATCATCACCGGCGTGAACTGCAGGCACGACGGGTGGCCTGGGAATGACAGGGAAATACCAGGGAATTATCATGGAATTGTCATGGAATTATTATGGAATTGTCATGGAATTATCACGGAATTGTCATGGAATTGTCATGGAAACCCCCTGCCCTGCCAGCGGTACGTCGGCACCGCCGCCGGCATCACCGGGGTGACCTGCAGGCACGAGGGGTGACCTGGGAACACATGGAATTATCATGGAATTGTCATGGAATTAGCAGGGAATTGTCATGGAATTGTCATGGAATTGCCATGGAAACCCCCTGCCCTGCCAGCGGTACGTCGGCACCGCCGCCCTCATCCCTGGTGTGACCTGCAGGCACCACGGGTGGCCTGGACTGGGAATCAGCGTGGAATTGTCATGGATCATCGTGGAAACATCATGGGATCATCACGGGAACAAACCATCATGGAAACAACATGGAATTGTCATGGAATTGCCCTGGAATTGCCATGGAAACCCCCTGCCCTGCCAGCGGCACGTCCGCGCCGCCGGCACGAACCGTGGGCACGACGGGTGACCCGGACAGGGAATTGTCATGGAATCGTCATGGAATCGTCATGGGAACATCATGGGATCATCATGGGATCATCGTGGGAACATCGTGGGAACAAATCACCATGGAAACACCCTGGAATAACCACGGAACCCCCCGGCACCGCCGGCATGAACCATGGGCCCGCCGGGTGACCCGCCCGGGGAACTGTCAGGGAAAA